GAGATTGCAGTCAGCTGAGATGGCGCTATGGCATTCCAGCCTGGGCAACAGAGCCAGACCCTGTCTTTAAAAAAAAAAAAAGAAAGAAAAAGAAGAAGGAAAATAGAAAGAAAGGAAGAGGCTGGGCGCGGTGGCTCAAGCCTGTAATCCCAGCACTTTGGGAGGCCGAGTCGGGTGGATCACGAGGTCAAGAGATCGAGACCATCCTGGTCAACATGGTGAAACCCCGTCTCTACTAAAGATACAAAAAATTAGCTGGGCATGGTGGCACGTGCCTGTAATCCCAGCTACTCAGGAGGCTGAGGCAGGAGAATTGCCCGAACCCAGGAGGCGGAGGTTTCAGTGAGCCAAGATTGCACCATTGCACTCCAGCCTGGGTAACAAGAGCGAAACTCCGTCTCAAAAAAAAAAAAAAATTAAAGAAAGAAAGGAAGAAAAAGAGTAACTTTACAGCGGAGAAACCTGGCAAACAACCTCAGGCAGGTGATCAAGGTCAACACCTTGATGTACCCTTCATATGACTTAATGAGAACAGCACTTTACCTCTGTGGTCTTTCTTACAAAAAATGTTTCAGGCAGTCCAATCATGAGAAAAACATTAGACAAATCCTTATAGAAGAATAGACTACAAAATACCTGACCAATCTTCAAAACTGCCAAAGTCAGGTGGAGCGCAGTGTCTCATGCCTGTAATCCAGGCATTTTGGGAGGCCAAGGTGGTGGATCACTTGAGGTCAGGAGTTCAAGACCAGCCTGACCAGCATAGAGAAACCCCCCTCTCTACTAAAAATACAAAAAATTAGCTGGATGTGGTGGCACATGCCTGAAATCCCAGTTACTCAGGAGGCTGAGGCAGGAGAATCACTTGAACCCAGGAGGCAGAGGCTGCGGTGAGCCAAGATTGAGCCATTGCACTCCAGCCTGGGCAATAAGAGCAAAACTCCATCAAAAAAAAAAAGTATATCATAGCCATGAGTATAGCTATATGCTGAATCCTGAGAATCCTACCAACAAATCATTGAATCTGGGAGGTCTATGTTGAGGACCCTTTATATTCTTATCTATAAAATTAGGCTATTCTTATCTATAAAATTAGCTTAAATATTTTCCCTGATTCAAATCTTTATTGGGAGAGTCACAGAGGAAAGTGTGGTTAGCTCCATTGATCACTGAGAAAACATGCACAGAAAAGACAGGGAAGATGTGTGAGGTTTCACAGCTAAGATGGGCAATGGGGGCTGGAACTCAGGTTGTCTGTTTCCATACCCAGCTCCATCTGTCTGCGACAGCGCAGAGGTCAGTCTTAACTGCTAAATGTTGGAGATGTGTTGCCTCTGTCTGCTCTCTACTCCTTTTTACTACACCCTGGTGAACCTGTCTGGCAGGTTAGACAGCACATAGAGAGAGAAATAGGAGGGAAGTCAGTTCCAGGCATCCTCCCACTCACTGAAGCCCGGACACACCCTTCATGATCTTTCCCCTCCTGGAACCCACTATCACCTCTCTCTCCTTTGTTTTATCATCTGTTCATCATCATCTTCATCCTCATTTCTTTTTTTTTTTTTTCTGAGATGAAGTTTCACTGTCACCCAGGCTGGAGTGCAGTGGTGCAAACTTGGTTCACTGCAACCTCTGCTTCTTGGGTTCAAGCCATTTGCCTCAGCCTCCTGAGTAGCTGGGATTTCAGATGCCTGCCACCATGCCCAGCTAAGTTTTGTATTTTTAGTAGAGACAGGGTTTCACCATGTTGGGCAGGCCTGTCTTGAACTTCTGACCTCAAGTGACCCACCTACCTCAGCCTCCCAAAGTGCTGAGATTACAGGCATGAGCCATTGTGCCTGGCCAGTCCTCATTTATTCGTAAATGTTTCCTGTGTGCCAGAGACAAAGATGGCACCCATGGGCCATGGCTCATTGTGGAAATATTTAGAACGCCTACCATGATTCAGGGACAAGGAGCAAGGAGAGCAATAAACCTAAGATGCTTTCATTCTGATCACCTCTGAGGCTTCTTTTCCCTGTTTTATTTGACCTCAATAATTGTATTATTATTATTATTATTTTTAAAAAGACAGGGTTTCACCATGTTAGTCAGGCTGGTCTTGAACTCCCGACCTCAGGTAATCCACCCACCTTGGCCTCCAAAGTGCTTGGATTACAGGCGGGAGCCACTGTGCCCAGCCGAGAATTGTATTTTTGTTGCTGTTGTTCTTTTTCTGAGATGGAGTTTCGCTCCTGTTGCCCAGGCTGGAGTGTGGTGGCGCCATCTGGGCTCACCAGAACCTCTGCCTCCCGGGTTCAAGTGATTCTCCTGCCTCAGCCTCTTGAGTAGCTGGGATTATAGGCTTGAGCCATTGCACACATTTATTCTCTTAATAAGGATATCCAAGGGCCAGGCGAGGTGACTCTTGCCTGTAATCCCAGCACTTTGGGAGGCCAAGGCAGGTGGATCACCTGAGGTCAGGAGTTGAAGACTAGCCTGGCTGACATGGCTAAACCTTGTCTTTACTAAAAGTACAAAATTAGCCAGGCTTGGTGGTGGGTAATCCCAGCTACTCGGGAGGCTGAGGGAGGAGAATCGCTTGAACCCAAGAGGCAGAGGTTTCAGTGAGCCGAGACCGTGCCATTACACTCCAGCCTGGGCAACAAGAAAGAAATTCCATCTCGAAAAAAAAGAAAAAGACATCCATTATATTGATTAAGGCCTACCATGGATGGCCCCATTTGAACTTAAGGGTCTCTCTTTTTTTTCCCTCAGCCTCCTGAGTAGCTGGGATTACAGGCATGAATCACCACACTCTGCTAATTTTGCATTTTTAGTAGAGATAGGGTTTCTCCATGTTGGTCAGGCTGGTCTAAACTCCCGCCTTCAGGTGATCTGCCCGCCTTGGCCTCCCAGAGTGCTGGGATTAGAGGCGTGAGCCACCTCGCCCCACCCAAGAGTGGTTTGTTTGTTTGCTTGTTTTCGTTGAGATAGAGTTTTGCTCTTGCTGCCCAGGCTGGAGTGCAATGGTGTGATCTCAGCTTACTGCAACCTTCCCCTCCTGCGTCCAAGTGATTCTTCTGCATCAGATTTCCCAGTAGCTGAAATTACAGACATGCACCACCATGCCCGGCTAATTTTGTATTTTTTTTTTTTTTTTTTTTTTAGTAGAGATGGGGTTTCATCATGTTGGCCAGGCTGGTCTCAAACTCCTGACCTCAGGTGATCTGCCCACCTTGGCCTCCCAAAGTGCTGGGATTACAGGTGTGAGCCACTGTGCCCAGCCGGTTTTTTTTTTTTTTCTTTCTTTCTTTTTTGAGACGGTGTCTTACTCTGTTGCCCAGGTTGGAGTGAAGTACCACAATCTCGGCTCACTGCAACCTCTGCCTCCCGTGTTCAAGCCATTCTCATGACTCAGCCTCCCGAGTAGCTGGGATTACAGGTGCCCGACACTATGCCTGGCTAATTTTTGTATTTCTAGTAGAGACAGGGTTTACCCATGTCGGCCGGGCTTCTTGAACTCCTGACCTTGTGATCCGCCTGCCTCGACCTCCCAAAGTGCTGGGATTACAGGCGTGATCCACTGGGCCCTGCTGAGTGCACAGTTTCTACTTGGGTTTCAGACTGGTTCTGCATCTGTGCCCCACTCCTCGGCCTCTAAACACCTGCGTGTTTTCTGTGATAACTAGACACATTAATAGTTATTTACAACAACAGAAAGTCCGGAGAATTGAATGGCACATAGTTCAGGGTGCTGCCTTCCAGGGATTCAGTTTAGTGAAAGAAACAGAAATGGCATTCACACACCTAAGTATGCTCCAATGTGTAAATTGCAGCCTGGGCAATGCAGTGAGAGCTGGTAAAAAAAAAAGAAAGAAAGAAAGAAAGAAAGAAAGAAAGAGAAAAGAAGGAAAAAGAAAAAAAGACGAGGGTGGGATTGTATTCCTACAGACACCAAGGACCCTTCCTAATTAGCTTTGTGTGACTTGGGGTTGGGGCAGACAGTAGATCCGGAGGAAGAATCTTGGAGCCAAAATTTCTACTGTCTGAGTCTTCCCCATCATTCAGATCTCAGTTCAAATATCTCTCCCTCAGAGAAGCCTTCCTTGACACCCATTATAGAGCCACACACCCCTATTCTCTAACACACTGCACTGTTTTGTTGCCTTCAGGGCACATATCATTCTGGGCTGTTTTACTATTATCTATCTATTACTTATTTATTTATTCATTCATTTTTGAGACAGGGTCTCACTGTGTCGCCCAGGCTGGAGTGAGTGGCACCATTACAGCTCACTGCAGCCTCAAAATCCTGAGCTCAAAGGATCTTCCTGCCTCAGCCTGCAAGTAGCTGGGACCACAGGTGCATGCCACTATGCCTGGCTAATTAAAAAAATTTTTTTTGTAGAGATGGGTCTCATAATGTTGCCCAGGCTGATCTTGAACTCCTGATCTCAAGCGATGCTCCTGCCTTGGCCTCCCATCATGCTGGGATTAGAGGCGAGAGCACCTGGCCTGGATTGTTTATTCTACTTACCAATTGTCTGTCTCACCCAGGGGACTGCTCTGTCTTGGTCAACTCTATAACGTAACCCCAGTGCCTTATTAGGTCCTCAATGGTTTTTGTTTTGGGGATAGCTGGATGAAGGAATGGATGGACACCCTCCATCCTCGGGATGCCTCTTTCTAGGAACAAAGTGACCTGTTCTTTTGAGCCTGACCAGATGGCAGAGGTAGAACGAGGAAAGCCTAAAACGGGAAGAAAGATTGGAGTGGATTGAGGAGAAGGATGAAGAGCTGGATTAGAGCAATTGACGGTGGCTGCGGAGACTCAGTGAGGTTTCCAAGGGCGGATGACTAGTGGAGCTGCACCCGAGCTTGTCCCGGCAGACAGGACTGGGGCTGGAATGGGTGGGCCTGCGGGTGGGGCGGGGCCGACGGTGGGTGGTGATCCTGTGATGGGGCACGGCAGGAAGGGGCGGATCCTACGGAGGTGGGCGTGGCCTGAGATGGGGCGGGGGTGGAGACGGGCCTTACGGAGGGCGGGGCGCGGCCGGGGTGCAAGGCGGGTACTGCAGGCAGCAGCCAGCGCTGCGCTCCGCGGCGGCGGAAGATGGCTGCGGCCGAGGCGGTGGACACTCAGCTGATGCTTGGAGTCGGGCTGATCGGTGAGGACGTAGACGCCCTGCCTGGAAAACTCTCACCCGGGTTCCGTCTCTACACCACCACCTTGGCCCGGGGCAGCCCCTGCTCCCGCGGTCCCCAGAGGACCAACATGGAGGGCGCGGCCGGTCCCATGTTGGGCCTGGACTGGGGACTGCGGGGTCCGGCCTCCTTGGCTCAGGGACCCGGCCCGCCGCCCTCGCCCGCCCGCAGCCGCCTGTGGGGCCCGCTCGGCTCCAGGGAGCCTGGGACCTCCCAGATCCCGGGGAGAACTTCCCCTGCATGCCCGGGTTTGCTAGGCGGAGCCGGGACGTCTAGCGTGCCCAGGCTGGGGCGGCTGCGAGGGGAGATGTGCGGGCGGGGCCGGGCTGGGCGGGAGCTGCCGGCGGGCGGCCTGGCGCGGCGGGTAGGAGGCAGGGCCTGGTTCCCCAGAGCCGGGCGCGGGCGGCTGTCTCGGAGCCAACAGTGACTGCTCGCCCGGGCGGCCCCCTTCGTGGGACCGGGCGGCTGGAGACTGCTGGGCCGGGCGTTGTACACGCATTGTCTCCTTTTAGCTCTCACCAAGGACCCAGGGGCCGTGGGAAACGACTGACGTCCGCTTTACGGAGGAGCAAATGGAGGCCCGGGCTGTCATTGGGCACGGACACACCGTAGGCAGTACAGAGGCGGGGTGGGGTGGGGGGAGCCTCGCAGTGTAGCCCGGAGCCCCTCGTCCCCACCAGTGGAAAGCTCCCGCGTCATGTGATCGAGCTTGTGCATAAAGCAGGAGTCTCTACACAATCGTGCAGTGGAATCTCGGTTAGCTCTGAGGAATGTAATTATCTCTCCATTGTTTAAAAATATCACGTTGGGATTTTTGGGCAGCCTTGTGCAGTGTTTAGGGGATGGAACCCATTGGTTCCCTTCAAAAAAGTTTTATTTCCCTGAGATTTTTGCACACCCCTAAACACTTTCTATTCTTCAAGTGCACAATAACATTGCTGAGGCTTAGCAAAACTGAAGAAATCGCTGATTATTTTTCAGTGCCTTAAGGCAGTATGTTTTTGTGGGAATGTTTTACTGTATTCATTTCTTTTTCTTTTGTTTTTAGACAGGGTCTCACTCTATCCAGGCTGGAGTGCACTAGCACAATCACCGTTCAGTGCAGCCGCCATCTCTTAGGCTCAAACTATTCTCTTGTTTCGGCCTCCAAGTAGCTGGGACCACAGGCGTGCACCACCACCCGGATCATTTTTCTATTTTTTTTGTGTAGATAGGATACCAACATGTTTGGGCGGATTATGTATTATTTCTAATGTGATTTTCAAACTGCTTCAAAACAAAACCTAAGTAACTTAGTGTCTCCAGAAGGTGCTTTTGAATTAAGGCTAAGTTAAACTGTCTTTATCTACTACTAATAGCAAAGAAAAAGATGACATATGATCATATTCTGAACTCAGAAGGTTTTTTTTTTTTTTTTTTAAAGATGGGGTTTCACCATGTTGGTCAGGCTGGTCTTGAACTCCCGATCTCAGGTGATCCGTCTGCCTTGGCCTCCAAAGTGCTTGGATTACAGGAGTGAGCCACCACGCCCGGCAGAAGGTTTTTTATTATTCACATTAACATGCATTTAAAAGGAGTTTGCAGCACTATATCTCTGCAAAATACCAAAATTAGCTGGGTGTGGTGGCATAGGTGGGAGGATTGCTTGATCCCAGGGGGCAGAGGTTGCAGTGAACCAAGATCATGCCACTGTACTCCAGCCTGGGTGACAGAGTGAGACCCCCCATCTCAAAAAAAAGAGGCCAGGTGTGGTGGCTCATACCTGTAATCCCAGCACTTTGGGAGTTTGAGATCAGCCTGGCCAATAGAGTGAAACCCTGTCTCCACTATAAAGGCAAAAAACTAGCTGGGTGTGGTGGTGCATGCCTGTAATCTCAGCTACTCAGGAGGCTGAGGCAGGAGAATCACTTAAACCTGGGAGGTGGAAGTTGCAGTGAGCACTGCAGCCTGGGTGACAGAGTAAGACCCTTTCTCTAAAGTAAAAAAAAGATCGTGGGTGTCTTTTTAAATGATTATTATTTATTTATTTATTTATTTATTTATTTTTGAGATGGAGTTTTGCTCTTGTTATCCAGGCTGGAGTGCAATGGCGCAATCTTGGCTCACCGCAACCTCCTCCTCCTGGGTTCAGGCAGTTCTCCTGCCTCAGCCTCCTGAGTAGCTGGGATTACAGGCACGCACCACCATGCCCAGCTAATTTTTTGTATTTTTAGTAGAGACAGGGTTTCACCATGTTGACCAGGATGGTCTCAATCTCTTGACCTCTTGATCCACCTGCCTTGGCCTCCCAAAGTGCTGGGATTACAGGCTTGAGCCACCGCGCCCTGCCGGCAATTTTTTATTTATAGTTTTTAGAGTTTTAGTCTCTGTTGCGTAGGCTGGAGTGCAGTGGTGTGTAGCTCACAACTACCTTTAAATCCTGGGCTCAAGTGATCCTTCCACCTTAGCTTCCTAAGTAGCTGGGGCCACTGCACATACCACCATGCCCAGCTAATTTTTAATTTTTTTTTTTTTTTGTAGAGATGCAGTCTCACTATATTGCCCAGGTTGGTCTGGAATTTTGGCCTCAGGCGGTCCTCTTGTCTACCCAAAGTGTTAGGGTTTACAGGCATGAGCCATTATGCTTGGCCTAAAAAATTTTAAATACAAAATTCACACAATTGGTATGCAACATGGTTTGAAAGATTTCACCAGTTTTTTCATCTCCAGTTTTATTTTTGACGAACCTTTTCTATGTATTTATTAAGAATTATTCCACCCAGCACTTTGGGAGGCTGAGGCGGGGTGGATCACCTGAGGTCAGGAGTTTTAAGACCAGCCTGGCCAACATGGTGAAACCCCATCTCCAGTAAAAATACAAAAATTAGCCGGGCATGGTGGTGGGCGCCTGTAATCCCAACTACTCAGGAGGCCGAGGCAGGAGAATCGCTTGAGCCTGGGAGGTGGAGCTTGTAGTGAGCCAAGATTGTGCCAGTGCACTCCAGCCTGGGTGATGCAAGATTCCACTTCAAAAAAGAAAAAAAAAAAAGAATTATTTTAACTAGATAAAAACTTAATGTAATTTTAGTTTATAGGCATTTGTGTGGGAGGAGATAGGGAGGAACTCTGCCATATCTCTGAGGCTGAATTTTCTTTCTTTTTTCTTTGAGACAGAGTTTAGCTCTTGTTACCCAGGCTGGAGTGCAATGGCGCGATCTCGGCTCACCGCAACCTCCGCCTCCTGAATTCAGGCAATTCTCCTGCCTCAGCCTCCTGAGTAGCTGGGATTACAGGCACGCACCACCGTGCCCAGCTAATTTTTTATATTTTTAGTAGAGACGGGGTTTCACCATGTTAACCAGGATGGGCTCTATCTCTTGACCTCGTGATCCACCCGCCTTGGCCTCCCAAAGTGCTGGGATTACCGGCGTGAGCCACCGCCCCCAGCTGAATTTTCATTTATGGTTGTTATAAAAGCTTTTTATGCCGGGTGTGGTGGCTCACGCCTGTAATTCCAGCACTTCGAGAGGCTGAGGCTTGTGAATAATGAGGGCAGGAGTTGGAGACCAGCCTGGTCAACAGAGAGACACCTGTCTCTACTGAAAAAGAAAAATACAAAAAATAGCTAGGTGTGGTGGCTGGTGTCTGTAATCCCAGCTACTCTAGAGGCTGTGGCAGGAGAATCACTTGAACCCGGGAGGCAGAGGTTGCAGTGAGCCAAGATGGCGCCACTGCACTCCAGCCTGGGCGACAGGGTGAGACTCTGTCTCAAAAAAAAAAACGTCTTTTACTCAGGTGGCCTATAATTCTGGATCATGAGAGCTAGATAATTTGAGCAGTAGTAATAGGTGGGAATTTGGGGTCTCAAGTACTCTGAGTTGCTTTGTAAAATGGGGTGTTAAAACTGATTCCACTAAGTGCTTCTGAGTAACCAATCAATTCACTTCCCTTGCTACTGTTTGACATTCTCACAGTGACCATCTTTCCACCGTAGAAAAGGACACAAATGGAGAAGTTCTGTGGGTATGGTGTTATCCTTCCACGACAGCCACATTAAGGAGCCTGCTGCTGAGGAAATGCTGCCTTACAGATGAAAATAAACTTCTCCATCCCTTTGTCTTTGGTCAGTACAGAAGAACATGGTTTTATATCACAACAATTGAAGTTCCAGATTCTTCTGTTTTGAAAAAGGTATGCATGAAGGTAAAAAAAACCCCAAATATTTAAAGTGATGTAAGATTATTCTGATAATCCTTAGCTTTAGACCTTATTCACAGTATACTTTTGAAAATATTAAATATTATTTTCATTGGGTGTATTCATACTTCACTTTCATTCATTCTATAAATATTTATTGTCGTCTAGTATATGACAGACCCTGTGGTTGACATAATGGTAAGCAGTGCAATATGTGGTCTCTTCTCTTTTTTTTTTTTGAGACGGAGTTTTGCTCTTGTTACCCAGGCTGGAGTGCAATGGCGCGATCTCGGCTCACTGCAACCTCCACCTCCTGGGTTGAGGCAGTTCTCCTGCCTCAGCCTCCTGAGTAGCTGGGATTACAGGCACGTGCCACCATGCCCAGCTAATTTTTTGTATTTTTAGTAGAGACAGGGTTTCACCATGTTGACCAGGATGGTCTCGATCTCTTGACCTTGTGATCCACCTGCCTCGGCCTCCCAAAGTGCTGGGATTACAGGCTTGAGCCACTGCGCCGGGCCCTTAATTTTTTTTTTTTAGAGTCAGAGTCTCACTTTGTCGCTCAGGCTGGAGTGCAGTGGTGCAATCATGTCTCACTGCAGCCTTAATCTCCTGGGCCCAAGTGGTCCTCCCACTTCAGCTCCCTAAGTAGCTGGGAGCACAGGCGTGCACTACTATCCCCTGATAATTTTTAAATTTTTTGTAGAGAGGAGGTCTTACTCTGTGTGGCCCAGGCTGGTCTTGAACTCCTGGGTTCAAGCGATCTTCCTGTCTTTGCTTCCTAAAGTGCTGGCATTACAGGCATGAGCCACTGCACCTGGCCAAGAAGATATCTTTCAATATGTAATGAAATCTTTGGTTTGTTGCTTGATAAGTTTTTTTTTGATGGAGTTTTACTCTTGTCGCCCAGGCTGGAATGCAGGGGCGAGATCTCGGCTCACTGCAACCTCCACCCCTGAGGTTCGAGTGATTCTTGTGCCTCAGCCTTCCAAGTAGCTGGGACTACAGGCATGTGCCACCATACCTGGCTACTCTTTATTTTAAATGTATCTCTTCAAAGTTTTGTATTTATAAAATTCTAAATTTTGTCTCATTGGTGGAAATAATAGATATATGATTATCAGAAATTTATGCTTATAATAATAGAGGCATATAAGTAAATGAAGCTCCTTTTCCCCTCCCCTCCACCCATACAGAGTCTAGCTCTTTTGCCCAGGCTTGAGTGCAGAGTTGCAATCTCAGCTCACTGCAACCTCTGCCTCCTGGGTTCAAGCGATTCTCTGCCTCAGCCTCCTGAGTAGCTGGGATTACAGGTATGTGCCACCATGCCCGGCTAATTTTTGTATTTTTAGTAGAGACAGGGTTTCACCATCTTGGCCAGGCTGGTCTTGAACTCCTAACTTCATGATTCACCTGCCTCAGCCTCCCAAAGTGCTGAGATGACAGGCATGACCTGCCCTCTGAAACTTTTTATAATAGTACTTTTTAGCTTACCGCACTCTTCAGAGAGTTAGTTCAGGAGCTGTATGATTGTTACTGAGATATGTTTTGTTATTTTCCATCCTTAGATAATGAAGACCAGTTGCTAGCGATAGAGTAGGGTGACTATGGATAAGAATAATCAACTATAAACTTCAAAATAGCTAGAAGAGAGTAATTTGAATGTTTTTATCATAAAGAAAAGATATATAGGCTGGGTGTGGTGGCTCATGCTTGTAATCTCAGCACTTTGGGATGCTGAGGTGGGTGGATCATTTGAGGCCAGGAGTTCGAGACCAACTTGGCCAACAGAGTGAAACACTGTCTCTACTGAAAATAGAAAAAATTAGCTGGCCATGGTGGTGTGTCTGTAATCCCAGCTACTCAGGAGCTTGGGAGGCTGAGGCATGAGAATTACTTGTACCTGGGAGGCAGAGGTTATAGTGAGCTGAGCTCACACCACTGTACTCCGCCCTGGGTGACAGAGCTAGACTGTCTCAAAAAAAAAAAAGAAAAAGAAGAGATATACCAGAAAAATAGGTGTATCTATTATGTATTAATAAGAATAAGTAAAATAAGGGTGTGGTGGCATATGCCTGTAGTCCCAGCTACTTGAGAGGCTGAGGCAGGAGGATCTCTTGAGTCCAGGAGTTCAAGTCCAGCCTAGGCAACATAGTGAAACCCTCAACTCGAAGAAAAGAAAAAAAAGGTAAAATAGTGAAAAAGTGTGGGGGAGAAAAGATAAGCAGTTGCTAAATTGCTAAGTCTGATTTAGCACTTCTTTCTTCTGCTTTGATGAGATTAGGGGACCTTAAGTAGAAATGTACATTTTTTTATATTTGAGTCAAGTATTTTTGCTTTGTGAAAAAATTTTTTCTGTAAGTATTGCATGCTTATGTAGGAAATTAAATATATATGTATATGTGATATATGTGCACATGCAAAAGTTAAAAGAAGCAAGTGAGGACTTGTTACGTTTTGGTCTTTTCCTTTTGAAACTGTTATGTCTTATACAAAAGGTTTGTTAGAATATAGTAATAAAAAGTAATTCTGCTGGAGTGTCTTTAAAAAGGATTTTTTTGTGTTTCTTTTGAACAGGTGACTCATTTTTCTATTGTTCTGACTGCCAAAGATTTTAACCCAGAGAAGTATGCTGCCTTCACTAGGATATTGTGTAGGTCTGTATAAAAATTGTATTAAATGCTAATATACAAAATGAAGATCTTACCATAGTTACATAGCAGATTTCTACACTGAGAAAGCAAAATTCAGCCTTGTGTCTCCAACACAATCTTTAGTAGCCCTTCACAGGCTGTAAAGAGGGCCTTTCTGTTTTGCTTTGTTATTTCTCCTCCTATTTGGGTAATGATCTAGGGGAAGAGAAGCAGCAGTTTCATAGCTATTGTAGTTCCTGGGTGTTTTGAGTCACTTCCTACTTTTGGTCTGTTACTTCTGTTCACTTCCAGTCTAGAATTTCCTTAGTAGGTTGAATAAGTAAGCGACTTATGACTCGGTAAACTGGTTCTTATGTGTCGAGGTCTGTGTGTGGCAATCATTTTGGGGAAATAATTATGCTGAAGCACAAGAACACATTTCTTAGCTGGAATGGTGAGAAGCTAGGGAATTCTTATTAATTGGTTAGTCATGATTCAGGTGGACTCTTTTAGTTTCATCCCTGTTGTTGAAAAATTTATCTAAAATATATCAGAATGTTTTTTTTTTCTTTTCTTTTCTTTTCTTTGAGACAGGGTCTCACTCTGTTGCTCAGGCTGGAGTGCAGTGGCTTCATGGCAAACTGCAGTCTCAACCTCCCAGGACTCAGGTGATCCTCCGAGCTCAGCCTCCCAGGTAGCAAGGACTGCAGATGCGCACCCCCATGCCTAGCTAATTTTTTATATTTTTGTATTTTTTGTAGTGGCAGGGTTTCGCCATGTGCCCAGGCTGGTCTCAAACTCCTAAGCTCAAGCGATCTGACCATCTTGGCCTCCCAAAGTGCTGGGATTATAGACGTGATGAAACTCTTCTTTATATGTTCAAGATATTAGCTTTTTTTTTTTTTTTTTAATTTTCTTTTTTTTTTCTTCTGGAGACATCCTGCTCAGGAAAGCTCTTTCTTAATGATGAAGGCTTTTGCAGGGTTTAAGTGGGGCGATCTCTGTTCACTGCAACCACCGCCTCCCAGGTTCAAGAGATTCTCCTGCCTCACCCTCCCAAGTAGCTGAGATTACAGGCTTGTGCCACCACCCCTGGCTAATTTTTGTATTTTTAGTAGAGTCCCAGCCTTGCAGGGTTTTAATTGTGATTTTGTTTTTGTTTTTGTTTTTTTCTAGAGACAGGGTCTTGTTCTTTTGCATAGTCTGGAGTGCAGTGTCATGATCATAGTTCATTGTAACCTTGAACTCCTAGGCAGAAGAAATTCTCTCACCTTGACCTCCCAAGTAGTTAGGACTACAGGTGTGTGCCATTGCTCCTGGCTAATTAAAAAATATATACATATATATTTTTTGTAAAGACGTGGTCTTACTATGTTGCTCAGGTTGGTCTTGAACTCCTGGGGTCAAGTGACCTCTGTGTTGGCTTTTCAAAGTGCTGGGATTACAGATGTGAGCCACTGCACCTGGTCCTTTAAAAAAAAAATACTGTTGCCGGGTGCGGTGGCTCATGCCTGTAATCCCAGTACTTTGGGAGGCCGAGGTGGGTGGATCATGAGGTCAAGAGATCAAGACCATCCTGGCCAACGTGGTGAAACCCCGTCTCTACTAAAAATACAAAAAATTAGCTGGGCGTGGTGGAGCACACCTACAGTCCCAGCTACTTGGAAGGCTGAGGCAGGAGAATTACTTGAACCTGGAAGGCGGAGGGTGCAGGTTGCAGTGAGCCGAGATCACGCCACTGCACTCCAGCCTGGGTGACAGAGTGAGACTTCATCTCAAACAAACAAGAAAAGGTTGGCCGGGCGTGTTGGCTTACGCCTATAATCCCAGCACTTTGAGAGGCCAAGGCGGGTGGATCATGAGGTCAAGAGATCAAGACCATCCTGGTCAACAAGGTGAAAGCCGTCTCTACTAAAAATACAAAAATTAGCTGGGCATGGTGGTGCGCGCCTATAGTCCCAGCTACTCGGGTGGCTGAGGCAGGAGAATTGCCTGAACCCAGGAGGCGGAGGTTGCGGTGAGCTGAGATTGTGCCATTGCACTCCAGGCTGGGTAACAACAGCGAAACTCCGTCTCAAAAAAAAAAGAAAAAAAAAAAAGTTGTTACTAGATAGAATTATAATTCTAGGTATTATCATGAGAGGGCTACTCTCAGCCCTCAGGCTTTTGCCTAATACATACATTTTTGGGGGCACTTCTGGTGAAGGGAATTGTTTTTGTTTCATAAACTCAGTAAGTGGTTCCCTTTTGGCTATTTTTGTGCATGAATGTATATACACATCAAAAAAAAAAAAAAGGGAGAGAGAGAAAAAACTCTAGTGTAAGAGTATCTTCTCATTACCTAAGGGTTTCGCTTAGATTATTTTTTGGCTAAATGAGATTTCACTATTTTTGCTGCCAGCCAGAATGAAAAAGCTTTCTACTCTCATAAGAAATTCCAGGTGAATGTCTCACTGTGGATAAACAGTTGTCTGCTAATGTGGCACTTACACAAAGGGAGATTATGATTGCCAAAAGAGATGCTATCCAAAAACCATAAACTAAAAATACTGCAGAGGTATTCTTTTTACAAACATGGGACTCCCATTTCATTTGGTTGAGTCAGGGGTATGTTGCTCAACCGAATTCACTGGGAAATATTCTGGAGTCCCAACAGGCAAGGTTGCTTCAGACCCCACTTCCTTCCCAGAAAGAGGCCCAGAGGGTTTCTCAGCTTCTGCGGTGTGTGGCATCATAGTATCCTGGATTTCCTCTCCTATCATGGTGCAAGAGAAGTGAGGGCTCAGAGCTACTGCCAGCCACCTCCTCTGCTTCCTGCGCCTTATTGCAGCACTGTGCTCACCCAGTATTTGCACACACACACAAGTCTGCGTGTACATGCACACACGTAGGCAAACAGTTTTTCATGACGGTGAGGTTGACGTGGAGTTGCCCCCCTCCATTTCTGGTGAGAGGAGCAGGCAGGTGTGTCTTCCACACACAGCATGCTGCTCACAGTGGCAGTGGAAGCCTGCAGGAAAAAACCTTATTCCCGGTTAGGCTGCATGTTAACTGCTGTGGTCCCCGTCAGCCTTTAGTTGCTTGCAGCTGTGGCCCTGCTGGAGAACCGGAGTTTTCTTTTTTTTTGAGACGGAGTTTCGCTCTTGTTACCCAGGCTGGAGTGCAATGGCGCGATCTCAGCTCACCACAACCTCTGCCTCCTGGGTTCAGGCAATTCTCCTGCCTCAGCCTCCCGAGTAGCTGGGACTACAGGCGCGCGCCACCATGCCCAGCTAATTTTTTGTATTTTTAGTAGAGACAGGGTTTCACCGTGTTGACCAGGATGGTCTCGATCTCTTGACCTCATGATCCACCCGCCTCGGCCTCCCAAAGTGCTGGGATTACAGGCGTGAGCCACCGCGCCTGGCCTGAACCGGAGTTTTCATGCACACTTGGAGTCAACTATCTAGGCCAGGTGTGGCAGCCTATGGATGTTTGTCTGAACAAGGTCCTCTGGGTTGCACTGTGGGCTTTTCCTGTGGAGTGGTTTCCTCTGTTTTGTCTCTCCTGGCCCAGGGGTGTCATGTAGGAAGTCATCTTATCCTACCAACCTTATGTTTCTTTTCTCTATTATGTATATTATTTCTATTTTATTATTATTTTTGAGACAGTCTCACTCTGTCACCCAGGCTGGAGTGCAGTGGGGCCATCTTGGCTCACTACAACCTCCACCTCCTGGGTTTAAGCAGTTCTTGTGCCTCAGCCTCCCAAATAGCTGGAATTACAGGCGCACAGCACCACACTTGTCTAATTTTTATATTTTTAGTAGAGACAGGGTTTCACCATGTTGGTCAGGCTGGTCTCAAACTCCTGGCCTCAAGTGAGCCTCCTGCCTTAGCCCCACAGAGTGCTGGGATTATAGGTGTGACTATTTTAGAATGTTAATGGCATTTTGATTTTTTTGTTGTTGGTGATGATAAAGCACATTTAGAAATTCAGGAGGATGTACAGTGTAAACTAAGCTCCCTCTTCTTCCTGTTCCCAGATCCCAGTTCTACCTCCTGACCCCCACCCCGCATAACTCCTGTGGCCTCCTTTATATCCTATCAGAGAAGTTTTCTCCCTGTGTGATCTTGTGTGTGAGTTCCTGGGTTTGAATGTATTTTACATGTGTGAAAGCTTACCACATTCATTGTTCTCTACCTTTTTTCCCTCAAATTGTGGATTGAAATAATTTTTTAAAAACCACTGATGATGGACAAAAGTTGGTAAGCAGTTAAAACACTTGCTTTTTTTGCTTTTTTCACTTAGTCTATGATAAATATAATTTTCCAGTGATCTTTTTTTTTTTTCTGAGACAGAGTCTCACTCTGTTGCCCGGGCTGGAGTGCAATGGCGTGATCTTGGCTCACTGCAACCTCCTCCCCCTGGGTTCAAGCAATTCTCCTGCCTCAGCCTCCCAAGTAGCTGGGACTACAGGCGCGAGCCACCACACCCAGCTAATTTTTATATTTTTAATAGAGATGGAGTTTCACCATGTTGGCAGGGCAATTACTCCTGGCCTCAAGTAATTGCCCGCCTCGGCCTCCCAAAGTTCTGGAATTACAGGCATGAGCCACCATGCCTGGCCCTCAAGTGATCCGTCCTTTTATTTATTTTATTTTATTTTAAAATTATTCTTACAAAACCACAATCAGAAGAACGTGATCTGTCTTAAACATGTTTTATTTTCTTCCTGATTTTCTATCACATCAGCTCCTGAAAGGCCCAAATAGACCCAGTCATGTTTCTCAAGCAAAATTTAGTTTCATTTGCTCACAAGAAGAGATTTCAAGGGGAAGAGATGGATTCCACATGTGAGCTATAATTGCAGCCAGTTTCCTATCAGCATTTTCTGGAAGCTTTAACCTGATGATGAATGTCTAATGTGCATTTATCACCAGAAACCTAAAGGAGTTTTGATTTCTTAATTATCTAAATATAGCTACCTCTGGGAACTCTAATAATAAGTATGTGTTCTACAACTAATTACTGCTTTCTCTGTGAACAATGCATAAAACTCCTTTCTTGTCAAAGGAAATCTCAGTAATAAAACAGAGTTGTATGACTGAGAACCCCAGTTGTGAATGTAAGACACAGGATAAGTGCACAACATTCTTGAGAGTCCTGGGACACCAGAAAGTTCGTAGTTCATTCTCCTGCCTTAGTAAAAATAGTGGGTTCCCTGATGTAAAGAGAGAGCTGAGTTGGAAGAATTGAAGGTCTTTGAAGCTTTTTCTTTCTTTTTTTTTTTTTTTTTGACAAAGTCTCACTCTGTCGACCAGGCTGGAGTACAGTGGTGCAATCTTGGCGCATTGCAACCGCTGCCTCCTGGGCAACAGTGAGATTATGTCTCAAAAAATAAAAAACGAGTCAAGCATTCAGAAGGGCAGTAGCAAGTTGGCTTTGGATCCTTTTTTTTTTTTTTCTTTTTTTTGTTGAGATGGAGTTTTGCTTTTGTTGCCCAGGCTGGAGTACAATGGCTTGATCTCAGGTCAGTGCAACCTCTGCCTCCCGGGTTCAAGCCATTCTCCTGCCTCAGCCTTCCAAGTAGCTGGGATTACAGGCATGCGTCACCACACCCAGCTAATTTTGTATTTTTGGTAGAGTCAGGGTTTCTCCATGTTGGTAAGGCTGGTCTCAAACTCCCTACCTCAGGGGATCCACCTGCCATGGCCTCGCAATGTGCTGGGATTACAGGTGTGAGCCACCGTGACTGGCCCAGATTCTTGAGAAAGCACCCATACCAACCTGGGTGCATGTCTTCACATGATTTGTGCTAAGTAAAAGCACAATTGCTTTGTTTTCCTTTCTTACAGAATGTACCTGAAACACGGGAGCCCAGTTAAAATGATGGAGAGTTATATTGCAGTTCTCACAAAGGGGATATGCCAGAGTGAAGAAAATGGCTCTTTCCTTAGCAAGGACTTTGATGCTCGAAAGGCCTACCTGGCTGGCTCCATCAAAGGTAAGAAGGGAAAAAACAAAACCCATCTCAACAAAAAAATCCCCGAGGCAAGAACAGTCTTTTTAAATTCTATTGTGCCTAATAGAATAATTAGATAATTAGATGATTATCTAATTGGAATTATCTACCTTTCTTACATTTTCGTTTACATAAATTTTTTCATATCCTATTTGTATATAAGAGGGTACCTTTAACACCTGTATTTCCTTATTAAGTTAGAATTCTTTCAAAGGAAAACCGATTTTTGTAGTGTTCGTTTCCATGTTCTTTTTTTTTGAGACAGTCTTGAAGGTCTTTGAAGCTTTTTCTTTTCTTTTTTTTTTTTTTTTTTGACAAAGTCTCACTCTGTTGACCAGGCTGGAGTACAGTGGTGCAATCTTGGCGCATTGCAACCGCTGCCTCCTGGGCAACAGTGAGATTATGTCTCAAAAAATAAAAAAAGAGTCAAGCATTCAGAAGGGCAGTAGCAAGTTGGCTTTGGATCCTTTTTTTTTTCTTTTTTTTGTTGAGATGGAGTTTTGCTTTTGTTGCCCAGGCTGGAGTTAGATAATATATTAATTATCTAAATATAGCTACCTCTGGGAACTCTAATAATAAGTATGTGCTCTACAGCTAATTACTGCTTTCTCTGTGAACAATGCGTAAAACTCATTTCTTGTCAAAGGAAATCTCAGTAATAAAACAGAGTTGTATGACTAAGAACGCCAGTTGTGAATGTAAGACACAGGATAAGTGCACAACATTCTTGAGAGTCCTGGGACGTCAGAAAGTTCATAGTTCATTCTCCTGCCTTAGTAAAAATAGTGGGTTCCCAGATGTAAAGAGTGTTGCCCAGGCTGGAGTGCAGTGACATGATCTCAGCTCAGTGCAACCTCCGCCTCCTGGGTTCAAGTGATTCTCCTGCGTCAGCCTCCCAAGTAACTGGGATTACAGGCGCTTGCCACTGTGCCCAGCTAATTTTTGTATTTTTAGTAGAGATGGGGTTTTACCAGGTTCGCCAGGCTGATCTCGAACTCATCCCTTGTGATCTGCCCACCTCGGCCTCCCGAAGTGCTGGGATAACAGGCGTGAGCCACCTCACCTGGCCTGTTTCCATATTCTATTGGCTATTTTAAGAATGTTTTCTCACTGGGGGGCTAAATTTTGTGACTCGAGGTCTCCATGGATTCCATAGTTTTTCTGTTCTTAGATCTTAGCAGTTATCTCTGTCATCTGAAAAGCCTAAGGCCTTGAACTTAGGTTCCTAATTTAAGTTTCAGCTGGAAAATCCGAAATGCAGACATTTCGGGGAACTCTGAAGGCGAGGCTGCCCTCTGTCACGTCCTCCCACAGTGCCCATCTGTCTTTGCTTTTGATTCCGCTGTTCTTTGTGTTTTCTCAGCATCCCTGGTGAGGTGTTAGGTGTTTGTCAGGCTAACTAACTTAAGGTCTTAAGTAATGATACTGGGGTATGCGGGAGTTAATATTTTTTTTTCTTTTGACATAGGGTCTTGCTCTGTCATGAGGCCGAAGTGCAGTGGTGGTGCAATCATGGCTCATTGCAGCCTCGACCTCCTGGGCGGGCTCAGGAAGTCCTCCCGAGTAGCTTAGACTACAGGTGCATGTCACCATGCCCAGCTACTTTTTTTTTTTGAGACAGATTCTTACTGTGTCATCCAGGCTGGAGTGCAGTGGCACGATCTCAGCTCACTGCAATCTCTGCCTCCTGAAGTGATTCTCATGCCTCAGCCTCCCCAGTAGCTGGAACTACAGGCACCTGCCACCACACCCAGCTGATTTTTATATTTTTACTAGAGATGGGATTTCACCATGTTGGCCAGGCTGGTCTTAAACTCCTGACCTCAGGTGATCCACCTGCCTTGGCCTCCCAAAGTGCTGGAATTACAGGTGTGGGACACTGTGCCCAGCCTAATTTTGTATTTTTAGTAGAGATGGGGTTACACCATGTTGGCCATGCTGGACCCAAACTCCTGACCTCAGGCGATCTGCCTGCTTCATCCTCCTGAAGTGCTGGGATTACAGGTATGAGGCACTGTGCCTAGCCCCAGCTAATTTTTAAATGTTTTTTTTAGAGATAGAGTCTCCCTATGTTGTCCAGGCTGGTCTCAAACTCCTAGGTTCAAGTGATCCTCTCACCTTGGTCTCCCAAAGTGTTGGGATTACAGATATGAGCCACTCTGCACCTGGCAGGCGTTTTTTGTTTTAAATAAGAAAATTTTAATGATACCGAAAGACACTGATTCCCTTCACATCAATTGTTTTACCTTTTTGTGAGGCTAGCTTCCTCTATGCATCCACCATGGAGTCTCTTTCAGGGCAGCGCACATGTGCTGGGAGGTGACATAGGATAGATCCACTTGTCCACCAAATAAATTGTCTGTATGCTTTACATCATGTGGGGAATGTAATTCAGATATAATTTAATACCAAATAATTCAATATACTATGTGGGTAGTTCTTTGAAGTTTAAAAATCACATCATCTGTGTCTTCTGACAATGTAATACATTTAAAGCATTTAAAAAAAAATTTATAGGCCAGGTACTGTGGCTCATCCCTGTAATCCTAGCACTTTGGGAGGCTGAGGTGGACAGATCACAAGGTCAGAAGTTTGAGATCAGCCTGGCCAACATGGTGAAACACTGTCTCTACTAAAAACACAAAAATTAGCTGCTGCGGTGGTACATGCCTGTAATCCCAAGCTACTCAGGAAGCTCAGGCAGGAGAATCGCTTGAGCCCAGGAGGCAGAGGTTGCAATAAGCTGATATCATGCCACTACACTCCAGCCTGGGTGACAGAGTGAGATTTGGTCTCAAAAAAAAAGAAAAGAAAAAAATTCTTTATTTTCTTACATGATGTGTAATGCAGTAATATTATGATTTCTCTTTTTTAAAGACATTGTATCTCAGTTTGGAATGGAAACTGTTATCTTACACACAGCTCTGATGCTAAAGAAAAGAATTGTGGTGTATCACCCCAAAATAGAAGCGGTCCAGGAGTTTACCAGGTATCATCTCTAATTATTAAAACGCGTTAACTTTGTTGGCAGACAGTTTGGGGCATTAGATGTTACCATGTGCTCTGTTCTGTGGCACATTTGCTATAAATAGCATGTGTTAGTCTGGAGGTGAAATACCACCTTTGGTCTGAAGTTTCTGTTTAGAATCTAGTAGTTCAAGGTCACTGATTTGGACAGATTCTTCTTTTTATTTTTTTATTTTATTTTATTTTTTTTTTTTGAGACGGAGTTTCGCTCTTGTTACCCAGGCTGGAGTGCAATGGCGCGATCTCGGCTCACCGCAACCTCCGCCTCCTGGGTTCAGGCAATTCTCCTGCCTCAGCCTCCTGAGTAGCTGGGATTACAGGCACGCACCACCATGCCCAGCTAATTTTTTGTAATTTTAGTAGAGATGGGGTTTCACCATGTTGACCAGGATGGTCTCGATCTCTTGACCTCGTGATCCACCTGTCTCAGCCTCCCAGAGTGCTGGGATTATAGGCGTGAGCCACCGTGCCCGGCCCAGATTCTTCTTTAACTTAAGAAATAAGACTATTTTAGAGCAGGGAGTTAGCAAACTTTTCCTTGCCAAACAGTAAATATTTTAGGTTTGTGAGCCAAATGGTCACTGTCCCAACTATTCAACTGTCTTGGTAGCACAAAAACAGCCATAGCTGGGTGCAGTGGCTCATGCCTATAATTCCAGCACTTTGGGAGGCTGAGGCAGGTGGATCACAAGGTCAGGAAATGGAGACAGTCCTGGCCAACATGGTGAAACCCCATCTCTGCTAAAATACAAAAGCCAGCCAGGAGTGGTGGCGTGTTCCTGTTGTCTCAGCTACTCAGGAGGCTGAGACGGGGGAATCACTTGAACCTGGGAGGCAGAGGTTAGTGAAACTTTATTTTCAAGGACAGGCCATAATTTGCTCACCTGTTTTAGGTATATTGTTCCTTCTGTTCAATTTTGTAAAAGACTCTTTTATTTTTTCTTGTTTTAATTAAAAACTTTGAGAGTGGGCCGGGCGCTGTGGTTCACGCCTGTAATCCAGCACTTTGGGAGGCCGAGGCAGGCAGATCACGAGGTCAAGAGATCAAGACCATCCTGGCCAACATGGTGAAACCCCGTCTCTACTTACATACAAAAATTAGCTGGGCATGGTGGCGCGAGCCTGTAATCCAAGCTACTCAGGAGGCTGAGGCAGGAGAATTGCCTGAACCCAGGAGGCAGAGGTTGCGGTGAGCCGAGATCGCGCCATTGCACTCCAGCCTCAAAAAAAAAAAAATACAAACAAATTAGCCAGGTGTGGTAGCATGTGTAGCTACTTAGGAAGATGAAGTGGGAGGATCACCCGGACCAGAGACATTGAGGCTGCAGTGAGCCAAGCCTTAAATGCGCCACTGCACTCCAGCCTGGGTGACAGAGTGAGACCCTATCCTCAAAAAGAATTTCAACAATTAGCCATGCAATAAGTGTTCTGATTTTTTTAAAAAAAGATTGACAGGGCCAGGCGTGGTGGCTCATGCCTGTAATCCCAGCACTTTGGGAGGCCGAGGGGACGGAAGAGGAGGCCAGGAGATCAAGACCATCCGGGCCAACATGGTGAAACCCCGTCTCTACTAAAAATACAAAAAAAATTAGCTGGGCATGGCAGCACACACCTGTAGTCCAGCTGCTTGAACCCAGGAGGCAAAAAATGCAGTGAGCCAAGATCACACCACTGCACTCCAGCCTGGCACCTGGGGACAGAGTGAGACTCTGTCTCAAAAAAAATAAAATAAAATTTGAGAGCAGGACAAAGACTCTTATTTTGATGGTGCATATATAGATTTTTTTTCTTTTTCTTTTTTTTCATTTACAGCTTTGAAGGGTCTCTTGATGATCATATATAGATTTTTTTAAATTTTATTTTTATTTTTAATAGAGGTAGGGTCTTGCTATGTTGCCCAGGCTGGTCTCAAACTCCTGGGCTCCAATCATGCTCATGCTTTGGCCTCCCAAAGTGCTGGGATTACAGGCGTGAGCCACTATGCCTAGCTAAAATACATACAGATTTTGTTGTTGTTGTTGTTTAATTTTTTTTTTCTATATTAAAACATCTTTTTATCAACATCTGGATGGCCTTGCTGTAGTTTTATTTTTATTTTTGTTTGTGATGGAGTCTCACTGTCTTGCCCAGGCTGTAGTACAATGATATGATCTCGGCTCACTGCAGCCTCTGCCTCCCGGGTTCAAGTGATTCTCCTGCCTCGGCTTCCTGAGTAGCTGGGATTATAGGCGCCTGCCACCACACCCAGCTAATTTTTGTATTTTTAGTAGAGACAGGTTTCACCATGCTGGCCAGGCTGGTCTCCAACTCCTGACCTCAGATGATCCGCCTGCCTTGGCCTCCCAAAGTGTTGGGATTACAAGCATGAGCCACCATGCCCAGCCTTCTTGTTGTTGTTAATTTTTTGCCAGGGAGTTGGCCCAGGGCCAGGAGGTGCCTGTCAGGCCCTGCTCCCTCTAGCTGCCCCCCCACCTGCCATACAGATCAAGAGTTTTTGTTTACAAAATCTAACTTGTTACTAGGTCCTTTTAAATTTTCTTCATTTTTATTTTATTCTATATTCTTTGTAGAGATGGGGGTTTCTGAGGTCTCACTCTATTGCCCAGGCTAATTTCAAACTCCTGGCCTCAAGTGATCCTCCAGCCTCTACCTCCTAAAGTGCTGAGATTACAGACATGAACCACCACACCTAGCCATTAGGTCCTTTTTTAAAAGCAAGAGGACTTAGCATTCATGTTGGGTTTACTGTATGCCAGGCATTTCATAAAGTATCTTAAATCAGGCCAAGCGTGGTGGCTCATGAGGTCAGGAGTTTGAGATTAGCCTGGCCAATATGGTGAAACCCCATCTCTACTAAAAATAAAAAAATTAGTCGGGCATGGTAGTGCATGCCTATAATCCCAGCTACTCAGGAGGCTGAGGCAGGAGAATCGCTTGAACTCGGGAGGCAGAGTTTGCAGCGAGCCGAGATCGCGCCACCGCACTCCAGCCTGGGCAACAGAGTAAGACTCTGCCTCAAAAATAATAATAAGATACATCAAATTTACTCATAATGAGAACCCTGCAAGGACGTAATATTACCCTGTTTTATGAATGAGAAAATTAAGGTTGGCAGAGGATAGGTAGTAAGGTAATGAAAAGAAGAAAGGCTTCATAGTCAGAAAGTCCAGAGTTAAAATCTTGGTAGGGCAATTTATTAGCTCTGTGAACACATAAAAGATACTGAATGTTGGCCATGCATGGTGGCTCACACCTGTAATCCCAGCACTTTGAGAGGTTGAGGCTAGCAGATTGCTTGAGACCAGGAGTTAAGACCAGCCTGGGCAAAACAGCAAAACCCCATCACTATAAAAAATACGAAAGGTGGCGCATGCCTGTAATCCCAGCTACTCAGGAGGCTGAGGCAGGAGAATTGCCTGAACCCAGAAGGCGGAGGTTGCGGTGAGCCGAGATCGCGCCATTGCACTCCAGCCTGGGTAACAAGAATGAAACTCTGTCTCAAAAACAAAAAAAATACAAAAATTAGCCAGGCACGGTGGCATGTACCTGTAGCGCCAGCTAGACAGGAGACTGAGGTAGGAGGACCGGTTGAGCCCAGGAGGTGGAGGGTGTAGTGAGCCATGATCAGGTCACTGCACTCTAGCCTGGATGACGGAGTAAGACCCTGTCTCAAAAACAAAATAAAACAAAAGATATTGAATATTTCTGAGCCTGTTTTCCTTTATCTGTAAAATGAAGATCATAATATCACCTTGTAAGTTTGGAAATAATTTATATAAGATGCTCAACATGTACCTAGCCTGTAAGACACACTTTAGAAGTTATTATTGTTATGATCATGATTGCATCAGATGTTAAGTGAGAGGGCCAGAACTTTTACCCTGTTCTCTCTGGGTCCAAAAGCCTGTATTTTCTATCCCATCACCTTTCCCCCCTCTATGTATGCTACTTAAACTGGAGCAGCCACACCTTCTGAGATCTTTAGCAGGGCACCAGTGGGTTCATGAAGCCACAGAAAATTTGATACATCTTGTTGCAGTCATTATTCCACCGTAAGTTTTTTGCAGGGAAACCTGTGATGTAGGAAAACAAACACACGTTGTTTGCGAGTTTTATTAGAATTTTAAATATAAATGGGAGACTTCCAGGAAATTTCTTACTTGCAGAAGCGACTTAACCCTCAGACTCCCTCTCTGTGGCAGTCTGCAGAGTGGGATGTTCAGAGAAAAACCTTAGAAGCATCACTGCTTGCTACCACAGGGATATTTTGAAACTTCACCTTGAGCTTTCTACAGCTGATCCGATCCCCAAAAGCAGAGTTTAAAACATTGCATAGATGCTGGGTGCAGTGACTTACGCATGTAATCCCAACATGTTGGGAGGCCAAGGCAGGCATGTCACCTGAGGTTGGCAGTTCAAGATCAGCCTGGCCAACATGGTCAAACCCTGTCTTTACTAAAAGTAAAAAAATTAACCAGGAGTAGTGGCAGGTGCCTGTAGTCCCAGCTACTTGGGAGGCTGAGGCAGGAGAATCACTTGAACCCGTGAGGTGGATGTTGCAGTGAGCCAAGATCATGCCATTGCACTCCAGGCTGGGCAACAAGAGTGAAACTCCATCTCAATAAATAAATAAATGAATAAAAAAGAAAACATTGCATTGATTTAATTTGAAGCCCAGAGGTTAGCACATTTGGGACTTGTTCTCACCTCTGTCTCTGATTAGCTAGAGACTCTACCCTCTTCATTTCCTCCCCAGGAAGAGGAGAAGGGCAGGCTGAGTCTTTCTTTTTTTTCTTTTTTAAAGAGATGAGGTTTCACCATGCTGGCCAGGATGGTCTCAATCGATCTCCTAACCTCTCGATCCGCCCACCTTGGCCTCCCAAAGTGCTGGGATTACAAGTGTGAGCCACTGCGCCCAGCCCTCAGGCTGAGCCTTTAAGGTGTGGACCAGCAACAACTTGAGTTCTTGCCTTGATTCCCCAGGACTCTGCCTGCCCTGGTGTGGCACCGACAGGACTGGACCATCCTTCACCCTTACGTGCACCTCAATGCCGATGAACTGGAAGCCCTGCAGATGTGCACAGGTAGGCAAGAGGATCCCAGGAGAGGAACTGTTCCACTTTTTTTAAATTTTTGTTTTAATTAAGACGGAGTTTCACTCTTGTTGCCCAGGCTGGAATGCAGTGGCACAATCTCGGCTCACCAAAACCTCCACCTTCTAGTCTAGGTTCAAGCGATTCTCCTGCCTTAGCCTCCTGAGTAGCTGGGATTGCAGGCATGGACCACCATGCCTGGCGTAGTAGAGATGGGGTTTCTCCATGTTAGTCAAGCTGGTCTCAAACTGCTGACCTCAGGTGATCTGCCCGCCTTGGCCTCCCAAAGTGCTGGGATTACAGGTGTGAGCCACCATACCTGGCCCAAACTATTCCACTTTAAAGAGGGTTTTTTTGTTTTTGTTTTGTGTGCATTCCTTTTTCTTTTCTTTTTTTTTTTCTATTTTTTCCCCAGAGTTTTACCTGTTTGTTGTCAAAATATTTTGCGTGCATTCCTAAGTGGGATACTGATTCTTTATTATTTTTTGGCATATGCAATCAGTTTTTTTCCCTTTTTTTTTATTTAAAAAAAAAAATTGTGGTAAAATAAATATAGGATTTACCTTTTTTGGCCAGGCACGGTGGTTCACACCTGTAATCCCAGCACTTTGGGAGGCCCAGGGGGGTGGATCACCTGAGGTCAGGAGTTCAAGACCAGCCTGACCAATATGGTGAAACCCCGTCTTTACTAAAAATACAAAAATTAGCCTGGTGTGGTGGTGTGTGCCTGTGGTCCCAGCTACTCAGGAGGCTGAGATAGGAGAATTGCTTGAACCTAGGAGGTGGAGGTTGCAATGAGCCAAGATTGTGCCATTGTACTCCAACTGGGGCAACACAGCGAGACTCTGTCTTAAAAAAGATAAAGAAATAACTGATACTAGGTGATTTATCATGAAAAGAGGTCGAATTGGCACATGGTTCTGCAGGCTATACAGGAAGCATAGTAGCTTCTGCTGCTGTGAGGCCTCAGGAAACTTACCATCATGGCGGAGGGTGAGGGGAGCAGGCATGTCTTACATGGCCTGAGCAGGGGGAAGGTGGGGAAGGTGCTATACACTTAAACAACCGATCCTGTGAGAATGCAATCATGAGAACCACACTAAGGGGATGGTGCTAAACCATTCATGAGAAATCACCCCCATGATCCAGTCACCTCCCACCAGGCCCCACCTCTAACGCCGGGGATTACAATTCGACATGGGTGGGAACACAGATCCAGACCATATCAGTCCTCAAATATTTTTTTTTTGTAATTATATTGCTCTTTGAAATCAAAAAAGTCTGGGAATCGTGGTCCTAACACCAGTCTCAGAGGTCTGCTAATTCCTGAGTTGCCTGGAATCCTTTAGCATGTATTGTATCAGATCTGAATTCAGGGAAAGATGCCATTTCCACCCTGAGAACCCAGGTATTTGGGGATGATATCCTGGAGGCAAAGACCTGAAGGGGGAGCATCAGTCAAGAGAGTCCTTGCTACCTTCCGCCCCAGCTGTCATTCTTGACCCCCAAGAGCAATGATTGGAAAGTAAATGCCCTACTTCAGCCTCATTCTTGACACCGACGGATAATTTTGGAATATTTGAAGTTGTGTGAATTTCTTCAGGCAGCTAATAATAATGTAGTCTTATTAACTGCCACAGGGTGCAGCGAATGTTCTGGAATGAATGAAGCAGTAAAGGAGAGCAGTGGATGAGCTTTTAGACCCAATTCTTTTGATGTGTTCATGTTTCTTCCTTCTCCAGTAAGATTTGTCATGTTTGTGATGCAGGTTATATCGCCGGATTTGTAGACTTGGAGGTGAGCAACAGACCAGACCTCTATGATGTGTTCGTGAATCTGGCAGAGAGTGAGATTACCATTGCTCCCCTTGCAAAAGGTTTGTTCTCTGTTCTGTTCTTGATACAAGATATAAGCCAAACAGTTATACATTTTTAGGCTGATTCTCTAAAACCAGCATTTGAGGGCTGGCTTACCCACTCTGCTGAACAGGGGATATTTCTGTGTCTGGAGCACAGCATTTATTCCTACACACAGACATGTTAGCAGAACACACCGGGTGCCTATGCAGCAAAGTATATGCTAAGAAGTTCGTCTTTTCATTTTGTTTCACCGCTTTTGTTCTTAAACAAGGTGTGTTATCTATTGCTACATAACAGATCACTTCAGAACTTAGTGGTTTCTTTTCTTCTTTTTTTTTTTTTTTTGAGGCAGGATTTCGCTCGGTTGGAGTGCAATAGCATGATCTCGGCTTATTGTAACCTCCATTCCTGGGTTCAAGTGATTCTCCTGCCTGTGTAGTACGCCACCACACCTGGCTAATTTTGTATTTTTAGTAGTAAGGGCTTTCTCCCTGTTGGTCAGGCTGATCTTGAACTCCTGACCTCAGGCAATCTGCCCACCTCAGTCTCCCAAAGTGCTGGGATTACAGATGTGAGCCACTGCACCTGGCCTAGTTTTTGTATGTTTAGTTGAGACAGAGTTTCACCATGTTGGCAGGCTGATCTCGAACTCCTAACTTCAAGTGATCCACTGGCCTCAGCTCTCAGAGTGCTGGGAATACAGGCTTGAGCCATCATATTCTAAAACAACAAATATTTATCTCACAGTTGTGGTGGATCAGGAATGACTTATCTAGAGGTAGTTCTGGCTTAGGAAGTTTCAGTCAAGATATCCCAGAGCTACAGTCATCTGAAGGCTCAACTGGGGCTAGAACATCCAGTCTCACCTTGCATGGCTATTGGGAGGAGGCCTCAGTTCCCCCTGGCATGGGTCTCTCCACAGGGGGAGTGCTCTTACTGTATGATAGCTGGCTCCCTCAAGAGTGAGTGATCAGAGAGAGAGAAGGAAGCCACAGTGCCTTTTATAGCCTTGTCTTGGTAGTCACACACTGTTACTTCCTCCATATGCCATTTGTTAGAAGCAAATCACCAAGTTTAGTCAACACTTAAGGGGAGAGCAATAAGTCTCTACCTCTTGAAGAAAGGAGTATCAGAGAATATGTAGACTTTTATCACTACACAAGGTATTAAATGTGACTCCAGTATGGAAAATCTTTTTTTTTTTTTTTTTTTGAGACGAAATCTTGCTTAGTCGCCCAGGCTGGTGTGCAGTGGTGCCATCACTGCAACCTCTGCCTCCTGGGTTCAAGCGATTTTCCTGCCTTAGCCTCCCAGAAAATCTTTTTTGAAGCATGTCTCAGTAGCACAAGGGAATGAGTTCTTAGAGCTAACAGTTAGGAAAGGGCGCGCTAGTGTTAGAGTGGCACTCTTAGACACTTTAAATTGTCCCAGATTACAGCTACATAAACTAGAAAAGATTGGCTTAAATGACTGTTCAGCTTAGGGCACTACTCAGGAAGTGGTTTTAGATGGATTACTGATAACAGCTTTGTTTTGTCATTTATCTTTCTCCCAAAAGTGGGGGCAGCTGAATGCTGACTCATTGGGAATTGTTAGATTTGCTTGTGTGAAGTTTTATTGAACAACTTAAAGTTAATAGAACCGTAACTGGTTTTCCTTTAATTCATTTTAAAATTGCAAACATAATGCATGCTTATGGTGAAAAATTCAAACTATGGGATCAGATCTATAGGATATAACTGCCTTTTGCAAAGCGAAAGTGATAGAAGAGTGGCGGTGGCCAGGGCCACTAAGCAGATGAAATGTTAGGACCAGAAAGGGTGGCCCTCTCCCTGCTGCCCTGTGTTGCTCCGTGTCTATACAATGGGCTCGTCCTACTCAGCACCATTTGAGTGGAGTTCATCTCTTGAAGTGACAAACAAGTTTCCATTAGCCTCCTCAGTGCAGATGGTAGCGATGTGTGTAACCAAGCTAACTTAGGGGCTTTCCTTTGCTCACTTCTAAGAACCTAAATACACTGAATGCCCAGGGGCTTCTGCAGAACTGACAGGAAACTCTTCTTTCACAATATTCCCGCTGAAAAGATAAATTTCTTAAATGTAAAGACCTGGACTAGAAGGTCAGGCTCTTGGCTTATAGTCACAACCTACTTGTAGTCAGAATTGTTCATTCTTTTGTCTGGGAAGAAAAACTAAAATTCTGGCCAGGTGGGTGTGAAGGGGAAATCTGGTTTGGTGTAATGTGTTTTTATGTTGGCTGAGAAGAATAAATCATGATTTTACTATGCCTTCCTCCCAGCAGGCTGTCGGATTTGTGTTTAGTGATAAAATGGACACATGGGAGGTTGTCAGCTGCTTTTTGAAAATTCCCTCAGTGTGGTCTTTCAAGTTTTTGGAGAGATGACATGAGTAGTTTTTATTATGTCAGTTTCTAAATATTCACACACCTTCTTCTTAATCTCACCAGAGGCCATGGCAATGGGCAAACTTCACAAAGAAATGGGTCAGCTAATTGTTCAGTCTGCAGAAGATCCAGAAAAATCAGACAGCCAGGTTATACAGGTAACTCCCTCACCTTCTGATCTACTGAAAGTCCTGACCCGGTGTTGCTGGGTGGTGTGCGACAGCTGTGCACATCAGCAAAGTGGGGGCTGTGGGAGAGGCCAGTGGGCAGGTGCTCAGAGGAGCATCTGCAGATGGCTGCAGCGATGATGGACAAGCAGGTGCAGACTGGCCTGACCTAGTTAGTACCGGACTCGAGAGCAGGTTTACACAGGGGCAGGTGCTGACACCGACCGCTGGCAACGAGAAATGTAACTACCAAGTGGTCTGGAAGGCTCTTCTGGCCCAGCCAGTGCACTCTTCCTGGGAGAATTTCCCTGGAGGAACAAATTATAAAGGGGAGGCTGTTGCTGAGCATGGGGAACTCAATTTGGCTTTGCTGTCTTGTCCCCAGGACAACAGAAATCATGCAGTCAGACTCCTGTCCCACTTAGCGACTGTTGCTACACATGCTGCAGAGCCAGCTCCATGCTGGGGTCTACCTGGCACGCTGGCCAGTGTTCATGTGGACTAGTGGGCACCTGCTCTGCCCTTGCCAAACTGGGATGGCAAATGGGTTTTATTTCTTGTGCTTTCCACATGGTGGCCTGCAGCCTGCCCAGTCTCCTTGCATTTGGCCTGTTCCCAGCTCCTTCCTCCTTTCCTGAAGGCTACACTTCCAGCGTAGCCTCTCCCAGGCCCTGCTTTCTCTAGATGCCTGACTCATAACCTGGGGCTGGAGGGCCTGGAAAGACTGTCTCCCGTCTGTACCTGTCCTACCTGGGGCACCTCTGATATGCATGCTGTCCTCATTCGGCCCAACCCCTGACACCTTCTTCACTTATCCATTCTCATTTACTCAGTGTTTTTTTTTTTTAGGGTGTCCATGGGCCCCGCGAGGGCTTGGGCTGCCCTACTCTGTTTCTTGAGCTCTGTCAGTCTCATTGCACTGGCAGTGGGGATGCAGTGGTGAGCAAATACCTGCCCACATGGAGCCTGTACTTCAGTGGAGTAGATGCACAGGAAATAATAACTGACAAGATAATTACAACCCATGATAGACACTGTGACAGAAACGAGGGGTTGAGGAGGTGAATATTGGAGGGATGGGTAGGACAGCTCTCTAAAGAGGTGATGTGACAGTGGAAAGATGAGAGGGGCCATTTCTTTGCAGTGCTGGTGGCCTGGCCAGATGTGAGCAGGAAGAGTGGACCGATCTTGCTCTAAGAACCTGAACACAAGAGACTCTGGGGCCACCTCTTTCCTACCACGTGAATCCTCATTGCCCTCCTATCCCCCAGCATTAGAGAAAAGACATTGTTAAAATAACAGCAAAATATGTAAATGTGAGTTTTGCATTACTGTGTTGTTCACAGACTAAAAGTGCTACCTAGATGACTTAATAATGTAAGAGACCTTGGGGAAGGCAAGTGAAAGTGCTGGGAATGTTGTAAGGGTTCAAAAATATATGAATGAATTACTGATGTCAGCAAACAAGGAAGACCTGATTTTTTTTCTTTTTGCACTCTGATGCCCAGGCTGGAGTACAGTGGTGTGATCTTGGCTCACTGCAACCTCCACCTCCCAGGTTCAAATGATTCTCCTGCCTGAGCCTCCCAAGTAGCTGGGATTACAGGTGCCTGCCACCATACCTGTCTAATCTTGTATTTTTAGTAGAGATGAGGTTTCACTATGTTGGCCAGGCTGGTCTCAAACTCCTGCCCTCGAGTGCTTCGTTTGCCCCAGCCTCCCAAAGTGCTGGCATTACCAGTGTGAGTCACTGTGCCCGGCCAGAAGACATGATTTGAATGAGCGCTTTAGTGAGTCCTCAGCCACCCAAAAGGAATAAAGCCTGCGTGGCAGGTGCCAGGCAGAAGAGGACTTTTGGGAAATTTCTTCAAAAAACAATAGCAGCATTTCTCAAAAAGTTAAACATTGAGTTACCATATAATTTAGCAATGCTGTTTCTGGGCATATACCCAAAATAGTTGAAAGCAGGGATTCGGCCAGGTGTGGTGGCTCATGCCTATAATCCCAGCACTTTGCGAGGCAGAGGTGGGTGGACCCCCTTAGGTCAGGAGTTCAAGACCAGCCTGGCCAACATGGCGAAACCCTCTCTCTACTAAAAATACAAAATTAGCCAGGCGTGGTGGTGGGTGCCTATAATTGCAGCTTGGGAGGCTGAGGCAGGAGAATCGCTTGAACTTGGGAGACGGAGGTTGCAGTGACCCAAGATTGCACGATTGCACTCCAGCCTAGGCAATAAGAGTGAAACCTCATCTCAAAAAAAAAAAAAAAAAAAAAAGTCCAGTAAAAATACAGTATTATTACCTTATGGGTCTACCATTGTATATGTGGTCCCTGGTTGACCAAAACGTCATTATGTGGTACATGACTGTATTTGTATGGAAATATCCATAATAGTGTTGCTCACAGTAGCCAAAAGGTAGAAGCAGCCCAGTGTCCTTCAGATGAATGGGTAAGCAAAATGTAGTCTTTCTATATGATGGAATATTAGCCTTAAAAAGGAATGGAATATTTTGAATGTGGCTTTGTTGGTGGGGAAAAAAAAGGAATAGAATTCTGATACATGCTGCAACATAGATGAACCTTGAAAACATGCTAATGAAATAAGCCAGACACTAACGGGTGAAAGTATGAGTCCACTTACACGAACTATCTAGAGCAGACAGTTTCACAGAGGTAGAAAGTAGAATAGAGGTTACCAGAGGCTCAGCGAGAGGAAACTGGGTTCTGGTTTAATGGATACAGTTTCTGCTTGGGCTGGTGAAAGTGCGGGAACCGGGCTGATGGCTGTGCAGCTGCAGATGTACTTAATGCCGCCGAACTAGACACATGAAATGGCTAAAATGAGTTTAAAAATCTGTGACATTGATTTTTCTAAGTTATTTTGTTTCATTTTTCTTTAAAAAGAATTATCAGGCTAGGCACAATGGCATAGGTATCCTAGCAGTTTGGGAGGCCGAGGTGGGCAGATCACTTGAGCCCAGGACTTTGAGACCAGCCTGGGCAACATGGTGAAACCCTATCTGTACAAAAATATTTAAAAATTAGCTGGGTGTGGTGGCGTGCACCTGTAGTTCCAGCTCCTCGGGGGGCTGAGGTGGGTGGATCACTTGAGCCTGGGAGGTCAAGGCTGCAGTGAGCCATGATTGCACCACTGCACTCCAACCTGGGTGACGAAGTGAGACCCTGTCTCAAAAACAAAAGCAGAAAACACGAGTTATCTCTTAGTGGTTTGTTTTTGAGACAGGGTTGCCCAGGCTGGAGTGCAATGGCATGATCATAGCTCACTGCAGCCTCTAACTCCTGGCTCAAGCCGTCCTCCCGCCGCAGTCTCCCAAAGTGCTGGGATTACAGGCATGAGCTCATTCACGCCAAGCTCATTTTTCATAATTTACAAACAGTCTGATAAAATAGAAGGAAGAATTCTAGACACTAAAGTTTTGGATACTAACATGTTGCATATTTTCCTGTTCCATTAAAGGATATTGCTCTAAAAACAAGAGAAATCTTTACCAACCTAGCACCGTTTTCAGAAGTTTCGGCTGATGGAGAAAAGAGAGTCCTTAATTTGGAGGCACTAAAGCAAAAACGATTTCCACCAGCAACAGAAAACTTCCTTTATCATCTAGCAGCAGCTGAACAAATGCTGCAAATCTGACTGTGTGACGGAATGTATCACTGGTGACTGATAGAAAGCCCTCTTTCACTCTGATTATCCATTAACTACACAAAGTCCTGAAAAGAACAGAGAAACTGTTACATATTTTTAATGATTTATTTGCAGGTTTTGAGCTTTGACCTGAAAAACATTGAAACACGTGAACACACTTCTGATTTTCTCCTAGCTGATTAGTTTCCTGCCTGCTGTCAGTGCTGGACAAAGTGCTGTAACTCCTTTATATAACATTACAAAACAGCTAGATGTCCTGGGGTAAGAGAAAAAAAGCGCATCACTACAAATGCGAAAGCCTTCATTATGACACGTTCTAGTTTGTCTCACTGTGTAGTCATAGGCTGATGGTTTACTTTCAGAAAGCTGCCTGAAATGTGTCGCTTTGTATTCTTCTAGGAAGAACTTTAATTCCTCCTGAGGAACTCTACTTTCTGAGCCAAACTGCTAAGTTTTCTGCAGAACTGTCTAGATCATAAAAAAGACCCTGCAGTTGCACTTTGTTGTAAAAGTTAAAAAAAAAAAAGTTTTTTCCTGGCCTTTGAGCATTTTGCCTTTATTATGAGAGTTTTGCATATATTTTATACTCGATTAGACAACTTTAATAATCCGTATTTATACTATCGCAGAAGGAGGCATTTGGCAAACATTCAGCTATTAGCACTCATTTAACCCTGTTAGCAATATTCTTTTGAAAAGGGTGCCAGTCTTTACGTGGTAATCTAAGAAGCCCATTGACTATAAAAGTGCGTAGAACTGAAACAGTGACCTTATATTATTGCTAAGGGAATATGAGAATTAACTTCTTACAGGGGCCAAAACAGAGAAAGGCTTCCAGCAACTTCTGTGAAAATAATTTGGCCACATGTCAAGGCAAGCTGTTTGTTCAGTTATGTACCTTTTTCATAACTGGAGACCTTAAAATGGCCAAATAAGCATGGAGGTCTAAATGCTGTATTGTTAGTGTATTCATTCATACTGATTGTAGAGGATTACTTTTCACTCAGTACTGATGTCCTTGGAAATCTTACCTGGAAATATGTTTGCAAAAAACATTATTGGATCTTTCATATTTTCTTGGTTTTACATATTTGTTAAATAAAAATTACCCTCCCTTTTTGAGTGAGGGCAGGGGAGGACCTGAAATGAGACGATGTTTACTAAGGCAAGCAATTGAAAATTAAATCTGCACTTTATGGAAATGAAAAATACTAACATCTTTTTCTTCCTCATTTTCTTGTATTACTATATTAGCTAATGATCAGTTGTTCAAATTATAAATTTATGATGCAGAAATAAAATTGAAATATTTTGATATTCAACTACTTTTAGGTGGGTGACCAGTTGTCCCCTTTGTCTAATTCTGCTCATTCCACAGAGAAGGGGAAAAAAACCCTCTTTTCAACTGTGAGGGCACTAGGGAATTATTAAAAGACCTGTCTAAAAGTTCAAGCTGGCCAGGCGTGGTGGCTCACACCTGCAATCCCAGCACTTTGAGAGGCTGAGGCGGGTAGATCACTTGAGGTAGGGAGTTCAAGGCCAGCCTGGCCAATGTGGTAAAAACCCATGTCTCTACTAAAAATACAAAAATTAGCTGGGCATGTTGGCGCACACCTGTAGCCCTAGCTACTCGATAGGCTGAGGCAAGAGAATTGCTTGAAGCCGGTAGGCAAAGGTTGCAGTGAGCCCAGATGGCACCACTGCACTCCAGCCTGGATGACAGAGTGAGACTCGGTTTCAAAAAAAAAAAAAAGTTTGAAGCCATCCCTCACCACACCCTTCCCTCCCACCCTAGCCCTCCTCCACCCGCCTTCCTGGGCTGCCTCTGTAACTTCAGTCTCCCGTCCTTGGAAGGTGCCTTCACATTTCTGTTCACCTGTTGTTAGTGGTTAAACTTCCACCTGCAGCTCTTGCCCATGTTGTTCTCTGACTTTAGTTTTGGTTAGTGTAAGCCTGTGGTCAGACTGAGCCATTTACTGATATCCTTTTAGGCTGTTGTGAAACTTTCCTCACCAAATGATGGTTATTTGAAAATAGCCACCATTCTGGCCTTGGGAAAACAAAACCACAGATAAATTCTTTGGTAATTTGGGGTAGGGTGCATTGGAAACATTCCTCCAGTACACGGATGTTAAGGTACCTACTCTGTGCCATGCTCTGTGTTATATTTTGAGCTACCCTGACGGGCAGCAGCCCCTGCTCTGGCATGGGATCAGCAGACAGGCTGCTGCAGTGTGGCTAGTGCTAGGCCTGATGTGAAACAGCCGTTAGAATGTCTGTATGGGAACACACAGCTAGGCACCCAGTTCCATGCTGTCAATCCTGGAAGGCCTCCCAGAGGGAGTGATCAACATCAAAGTCAGACCTGAAGCATAAGCAGACACCCACTCAGACCAGAGGAAACGGCTGTGTGAAGGCCCAGAGGAGAGCCCACAGCCCATGTGAAGACCTGGAAGGGCTAAATGGAGGGGAGGGAATGGCAGGATAAGAGTACAGGAAAGGCTTGCTGTGGTGAGGAATGTGGGCTTGATCTTGATGCACTAAGCCATTTAAGGCTTCTTTTCAGGCCAGGTGTGGTACTCATGCCTGTAATCCCAGCACTTTGAGAGGCCGAGGTGGGTGTATCATGAGGTCAGTTCAAAACCAGCCTGGCCAACATGGTGAAACCGCATCTCTACTAAAAAAAAAAAAAAAAAAAAAAAAAAAAAAAAAAAAGCTGGGTATGGTGGCTGGTGCACATCTGTAGTCCCAGCTAATCAGGAGGCTGAGGCACCAGAATCACTTGAATCAGGAGGTGGAGATTGCAGTGAGCCAAGATCGCCTCACTGGACTCTACATTCCAGCCTGGGTGGCAGAGCAAGACTCCATCTCAAAAGAAAAAAAAAAAAAGCTGTTCACGGTGTGGTTTAGAAGAGCAGGCTGGAATAGACTGGAGGGAGTAGGCAGATGGGCCAGGCAGGCCAGCAGGGGGTGCTGTGGGACTGCACTGGAGGTAGCAGTGGGCATATGAGGGTTCCAGACGATGTGTCCTGGGCCCAGTCTACTGAATAGGCTGGGAGTAAGGTGGGGAGAGGGTGCTCCAGGGAGCCTGCCTGCTGTACCTGGGTAGGTGGTGGTGTCAATTCCTGAGACTGGGAGGGAGAACTGATCTCAGGTTTCGATGGTTGAGTTTGAGGTGTTTGGGACATCCAAACGGCAAAGTGCAGCTGAGTAGGCAGCTCAGTGACCAGCCTGAGTACCCAGCAGCATGGTAGTACAACATTCAGCTGGGTCACGGATGAGAGAAGATTCAGCAGAACGAGAGGCAGGGCAGAGACAGTGAGGGCGGACAACTCTTTTAAGGTGTCTGGCTATAGCCAGGCGCGGTGACAGGGGCCCAGCTACTCGGGAGGCTGAGGCGGATGGGTCCCTTGAGCCCAGGAGTTTAAGGCTGCAGTGAGCTATGGTTGTGTCACTGTACTTCAGCCTGGGTGACAGCAAGTTCCTGTCTCTAATGCGGCAGGTGCCAAGCACTTTATTTTTGAGATAGAGTCTCTGTTGCCCAGGCTGGAGTGCAGAGGCACAATCTTCCCTCACTACGTCCTCTGCCTCCTGCCTTAAGTGATTCTTCTGCCTCAGCCTCCCAAGTAGCTGGGACTACAGGTGCACACCACCACACCTGGCTGATTTTTGTATTTTTAATAGACACAAGGTTTCACCATGTTGGCCAGGTTGGTCTTGAACCCCTGACCTCAGGTGATCCACTGGCCTTGGCCTCCCACCAAAGTGCTGGGATTACAGTTGTGAGTCACCGCACCTGGCTGACAAGCAGTTTACATACTTCAGGGAAGGACCCAGCAGACAGCCCTGAGGAAGCAGAGAGGGGCCCAGAGCCTGGAGGACGCTGGCCTTGCATGGAGGAAGGATGGGTGTGGGTGTGGGTGTAGGATGGGAGGCTTCACTGCTGACCTTGGTTTCCTGGCAGAGGAGGCAGGGTCCTTTGGCAGAGAGGAGAAAGGAGGCACTGGGCAGCAAAGGTTTTAGGTAGCCTTCTAGCATGGAGTAAGGAAACAAGATTGCTTTTGGGGTTGGAGGCTGTAAACAGCTCCCCAGGGGTGCGTGTTCCACTTGAGACGGGCTATCCATTTAACGCCTGTGTCCTGGGCACGGGGGACTCTTGTGTTCTTTCTTCAAATACTCAATTGAGACAGGTTTATTAATTAGTGATTTCACAGTATCCTTTCACAGGCGGAGACTCACTCCAACCATCCCTTCAACAACCCCCAAGGTGTCAGATGGGGACCCCTTCCTGCTGTCTTCTCTAGCCAGCCTTAAAAACCCCAGACACAGCAATCTGGGAACGATCTCAGTGTGGAATTTGAAGTCACCCTGTCAGCACAGACATCTCTGGGGTCCCCAGACCTGTGGCAGAGTTCTCTAAACCGAACCTGGAGAGGGCAAGGTTTTCAAGCAGGAACCATAGAAATTCACCTAAAACTCACGCCTACAACCCTCTGTGATAAAAGAGTTCCGTTTCTTCTGTTAAAGACTGAATATCCTCTTCAAGCTGACTGCACTGTATCTGAAAAATAGTTAAATTCATATTTCTATTAATAGTTTTTCTTGCCTCAGAAGCCAAGTTAAAAAACAAATCATTTTCTGAAAGCAACCATTTCACAGTACATCTTTTTCGATAATGTCTAATCCATAGCAGAAAATGTAACCTATTTTCTTTTAAATCACCCAAGTAGTAAAGGAACTTCTTTTAAACTTTTTTTTTTTTTTTTTGGAGACAGAGTCTTGCTCTGGTG